TCTTGAACATGGGACCCAAATTAGTAGGCCAGGTCTACTGGAGGCTGGTGGAGCTGGCCTGACAAGGGGAAGAACAGTTTTGGTAGGAGGCTTGCCAGACTAGTCAAGGATGCTTTAAATTAGATGTGTTGGGGGAGGGGGGCATCATTCCATCCCAACACACCCAGTCAGTTGCCAGCACCTATAATAAATGCTTGGAGCAATGTAGAGATATTCCAGCTGCTCCAGCCAATGAGCCGGCTTCATTTGGTGCTCAGCTCAGATGCCTCTATACAAATGCCCGTAGCATGGGGAACAAAGAAGAGGAATTAGAGATGTGTGCACCTCTATGGGGATACGATATAAACAGAAACATGGTGGGATGGCTCCTGTGACTGGAGTGTTGGAATGGAAGTGTTGGAAAAGGGCAAAAGCCTTTATGATAAAACAATTATATAAAATAGTAGAAATGATTATGTTTGAGAAATTTATAAATCAATAGTGGGGTTTTGTATATTAGAAAATGTTGTAACTTTGCAATTTTGTATCATGGCTATTCTGTAACCAGTGTTGCAATGATAGTCTTAGTAGCAAAAACCTATGCGTATGGGTGGATTTAGAAAGGTATGTACTGGAGACTATACCCAAGTATAACCTATGCATAAGGTAGCCAGAAGAGCATACCAGAAGCTGATAAGAAAATGCTAGCGTCCACACAAGGGTTGGGATATATCCAAGTAAGGAAAAGGTGAAGAGGACAACCTGAGGAAGACTTCTTACTTCATCGGAACGACCACCAGAGGGGGCTGCGCAAGCGTAGAAGAGGCTGATGTCGTAACATTCCTGATGTGGCAATCCTTAATGCATATGCATTAGCTAATGTTGTAATCCGTGCTAAATGTGTATAAATTGTGAACGCGATGTGACGAGGTTGGAACCAGATTTGGGTGTGTACTCCTGGTTTCCCAGCGCTGCAATAAAGCACCTCATATAACCATTCTGGTGGTTATGGATTTGTTCCCATGCTAACAGGTTACAGGCTCTTTAGAAAACACTGGCCCAACAGACTGGGAGGGGGAGTGTTGTGATTTAAACTTTGTCAGCCATGTAGCCTCCCTCGCTCATTCCCCCCCATCTTCCCCCCACTCCCGGAGGGATGGGGAGGAGAATTGAAAGAATGTAACTACCACGGGATGAGAACAGTCCAGTAACTAAGGTATAACACAAATCACTACTGCTACCACCAGTAATAATAATGATAAGGGAAACAACAAGGGAAGAGAATACGATACCACCCGCCAACCAATAATACCCAGTCCGACCGAGCAGTGAACCAGCCCTTCTGGGTAACTCCCAGTTACATCCTGGGCATGACGTGCTGTGGTATGGAATACCTCTTTTGTCTAGTTTGGGTCAGGTGTCCTGTCTTTGTTTCCTCCCGGCTTCCCTTCCTCCCTGGCAGAGGATGAGACTCAAAAAGTCCTTGGTCAGAGTGAACATATGAGCAGTAACTAAAAACACTGGTGTTGTCAGTGCTGCTCCCAGGCTGAAAGTCAAAACCACAGCACTGCACCAGCTACTAAGGAGAAAAAATGACTGCAACTGTTGAACCCAGGACAGGGAGTTGCTATTTATGTTAGGGATAGGCTGGATAGTATGGAACTCTGCTGGGGACAGGTGAGCAGTCAACAGAGAGTTTGTGGGTCAGGGTTGAAGGGAGAACAGCTATGGGGGACATTATTGTGGGGATCTGTCATAGACCGCCTGATCAAGAGAACTCTGTGGATGAAGCACTCTACAGACAGATAGGAACAGCCTCATGCTCGCAGGCCCTTGTCGTCATGGGGGACTTTAACCACCTTGATATCCATTCGAGGGACGGTATGGCAATCTAGGAGGATCCTCGACTGTGTAAGACAACTTCCTTCTGCAAGTAATAGAAGAACCGACAAGGAGAGGTGCCATGCTTGACCTTGTGCTCACCAACAGGGAAGGGCTGGTTGGAAACGCCCCAGGGCAGCCTTGGTTGCAGCGATCACAAGATGGTCAAATTCGAGATCCTCAGAACAGTGAGAAGAGCGTGCAGCAAGCTCACTGCCCTGGACTTAAAGAGAGCAGACTTTGGCCTCTTCAGGAACCTGCTTAGTAAGGTTCCATGGGATACAGCCCTAGAGGCAGGGGGGCCGAAGACTGTTGGTTGATATTCAAGGATCACCTACTACAAGCTCAGGAGTGTTGCATCCCAACTAGAAGGAAGTGCAGCAGAAGGGCCAGGAGACCTCCTTGGATGGATAAGGAGCTGCTGAGGAAAATGCAAAGGAAAAAAGAGGGTTATAAAAGGTGGAAGCAAGGACAGGTAGCCTGGGAAGAATACAGGAATGTTGTCCGGGAAGCTAAGGACCAGGTTAGGAAAGCTGAGGTCCTGTTAGAATTAAACATGGCTAGGGATGTTAAGGATAATAGGAACGGATTTTATAGGTATGTAGGGAATAAAACACAGACTAGGGACAACGTAGGCCTCCTCCGGAAGCTATCAGGAGAACAGGTTACCCTGGATTTGGAGAAGGCTGAGATTCTTAATGACTTCTTTGCCTCGGTCTTCACTGGCAAAGGCTCTGACAAAACCACCCAAGTCTTGGAAGGCAGACACAGGGACTGTGAGAATGAAGACCTTGAGCCCACTGTAGGAGAGGATCTGGTTCGAGACCATCTTAAGAACCTGAACGTACACAAGTCCATGGGACCTGATGAAATCCATCTGCAGGTCCTGAAGGAGCTGGCAAATGAAGTTGCTAAGCCACTATCCATCATATTTGAGAAATCTTGGCAGTCTGGTGAAGTTCCCGATGACTGGAAAAAGGGAAATATAACCCCCATTTTCAAGAAGGGGAAAATGGATGACCCGGGGAATTACTGACCAGTCAGTCTCACTTCAGTGCCTGGCAAAATCTTGGAGCAGATTCTCCTGGAAGGCATGCTAAGGCACATGAAAAACAACAAGGTGCTTGGTGACAGCCAGCATGGCTTTACTAAGGGGAAATCCTGCTTGACCGATTTGGTGGCCTTCTATGATGGGGCTACAGAACTGATGGACAGGGGTAGAGCAGTTGATGTCATCTACCTGGACTTATGCAAAGTGTTCGACACTGTCCTACATGACATCCTTGTCTCTAAATTGGAGAGACATCAATTTGATAGGTGGACCACTCAGTGGATAAAGAACTGGCTGGATGGCTGCACCCAAAGAGTTGTGGTCAGTGTCACACAACCAGAGTGTGAGGTGTCCCTGCCCATGGCAGGGGGCTGGAACTAGATGATTTTAATGTCCCTTCCAACCCTAACTGTTCTATGATTCTTCCTTCCTCCACTCCCGGAGGAATGGGGAGGAAAATCAAAAGAATGTAACTCACACAGGTTGAGATAAGAACAGTCCAGTAACTAAGGTATAACACAAACCACTTCTGCTACCACCAGTAATAATAATGATAAGGGAAATAACAAGGGGAGAGAATACAACCACTCGCCACCCACCACTGCCTGACCCAAGCAGCGATCTGGGCCTTCCGGGTAACTCCCCAGAGTTTATATACTGGGCACGATGTGTTTTGGTATGGAATACTCCTTTGGCCAGTTTGGGTCAGGTGTCCTGTCTCTGCTTTCTCCCGGCTTCTCCTTCTCCCTGGCAGAGAATGAGACTGAGAAAGTCCTTCTTCAGAGTAAGTATTACTTAGGAACAAATAAAAGCCTCAGTTTTATCAGCGTTGTTCCCAGGCTGAAAGTCAAAAAGACAGCACTGCACCAGCTTCAAAGAAGGAGAAAAAATGACTGCTACTGCTGAACCAAGGACAGGTCTGTATTGGGAGACCAGTACTGTTTAATATCTTCATCAATAACACAGTGGGATTGAGTGTGTTATCAGAAAGTTTGCAGATAACATGAAGCTGAGTGGTGCATTTGATACGCTTGAGGGATGGGATGCTATCTAGTGGGACTTAAATTGTTTGAGAGGTAGCCCCATATGAACCTCATGAGTTTCAATGGAGCCAAGTATAGGGTCCTGCATCTGGTGCCGGAACAACTCCTGGTATCAATACAGGCGGGGGGATGAAGGGATTGAGTACACCTGAGGAGGACTTGGGTGTAGTGGTTGATGAAAGATTGGGTATGAGCTGGGAATGTGCACTTGCAGCCCAGAAGGCAAATCATATCTTGGGCTGCATCCAAAGAAGTGTGGCCAGCTGGTCAAGGGAGGTGATTCTGCTCTAGTGAAACCTGACCTAGGGTAGTGTGTCCAGCTCTGGAGTCCTCAGTACAGGACAGAGATGGAGCTGTTGAAGAGGGTCCTGAGGAGGGCTGCAAAAATGGTGAGAGGGCTGGAGCAGCATTTTGTCATGATTTAAACCCAGCTGGTAACTCAGAACCACGCAGCTGCTTGCTCACTCCCAGAGGGATGGGGAGGAGAGTCAAAAGAATTTAATTCCCACAGGTTGAGATAAAAACAGTCCAATAACTGAAGTATAATACAATACTACTATTATATCACTACTAATAAAAAATTTGTGGGTAGACATATAATATGCATATTAGAGGCATGCATAAGCTTGAGAACTAGAAGTAGCAGAGTGCTTCATAATCTCAGCACATGCAGTTCTTCTTTCTCAGGATTGAGTTTTATTTGTTTTCTGTTGCTTCCCCCAAAACATAGGCGGCTCATGAATGTTTAACTGCTCTTATCCTTTGATTTTATATTTTTTTTTTTTTTTTCTCTTTATTTAAATTTTCTTGTGGCTCCTGTGAGCTCAAGTGTCACTGAGAAGTCAGGTCCTCCTGTCCTTCTGTATGTCTGTTTTTTATTTTAATATGACAAATATATGCCCTCTCTGGAAATGGTATCCACGCTGCAGAGTAATTATTTAGTGAATGGTGAATATAGTTCATGTTGGCAAGGATCAGGTTAATCATTATTAATCATGACATTTTGCTTTCCTCAGAAAATACACAAACAAAATCACTCCCCAGGAACCATCTTTCCTGCTTTATGTTAATATACTACTTAGCACAAGGAACTCTTAATCCAGGATTGCCATTCTTATGCAACAACGCACCTCAAATAATAAGCAACAGTATAATAAAAGCATCACCTTTCACACACACCAAAAAAAAAGGCCAAAAAATATCTGGTTAGACCCAAAACTTTAAATAGTTAATGGTTTAAAAGCCACATACCTATTTATGCATTCATTCATGAAAATGAAAACTAAGTTGCATTTTCACACAACTTTACAGAGGCATCACAGGAAAACACAAACCAAGACCGATAAAAAAGAAAGAAAAACCCCCAACAACAATAATGAAAGCAAATCTTTAAAATCTGAGACAGGATGCAGGAGGAGGGGGTAAAGCTCTGCAAACAAAACTAAATCTAATGCAGTGTTTTTCCCCTTCACAAAGTGAAACAAGCTGTTCCTAAAATAATGCTTCCTTGCTTTTCTGGTAGTTAGTGTCCTGAAGGATTAGCCTACAATCATTGGCAAGTGTTTACCTTTCCTAGCTGATGTCTGTGTTTATCTATAGGGCCCAGGGGATAATTCATAAACTGAGATGAGGTCCTGCATTCACAGACATTCCACACTGCCACCCACCCTCCTGTACTAGTTTCCTCCCCATCCACCTCCTGTCCCCTGAATTACAGACAAGACCCTGTCAGGGGCATGACAAATTAGTTTTCCACTTGCCCAACAGTTTATGCTGATACAGCAAAAAAGAGTTACTGAGATGGTCAACACATCACTAGACATTAAAAATTAGATTTCAGAAAGTAACCAAACACAAAGAATAATTTATCACTGTGCCAGAAACTTAAAAGAGAATGGGATTTTTTTTTCCCTCCAAAAACTATTGCCTACTCTATAATTAAAGTATTGAGATAAATGATTTTTAGGTACAACACTCAGAGTTTGTTAGAGATAGCTTTTGTAAAACCTCTCTGCAATCAAGATATTCCCATTTAATTATTAATCTCTACCACAAGCAGTTTGACACTGCTCTAGTCCTGTTGTAAATCAAGAGTGATTCAACCAGAGTACATCAAAATAACAAAAAAAAAAACAAATTTGGTAAAAGCGTTCATTTCTAAATCAAATTTCTCCTGATGTGTTAGAACGTCAACATGAGAAAATTAAGCTTGTGTTTGAGAAAATGGGTAGCTATTCTTTAAAGAAAAGTTATATGAATCCTTGTCTTGATTGTGAACTGATAGTATAGCTCATGACAATAAATTTGTCATTTTGAAAATACTAATTAAAGAAAAAAAATCAATGAAAGACTCAATACTACAAAGCATTTATAAGTGTGACCAATATTCCTCACAACAGAGCCCGCTGCAGGATAGATAGATATTAACAGACATTAACAAAATGAGGCTCAGAGACACCATTATTAATTAGGGTTGATGAACATGCATGTTGAAAATGAAAAACATATTTCCTCCTGAAAATTAATCTTTTTTCCCATCAGTAAATTATTGGGAGTTCCTGGAGCTTTATGGACACTGAATCTGCTTCAGGTCTGTACTTGGTCACAAGGTACATGAGAAAGCAAAGTTATTTGATATGAGATCAACTGCTTCACTCTACTACATTTAACACTGGATGACCCAATATTTATAAAATGTTTCTGCTCAAATCAAATTTTGTTTCATCCTTGGAAAGAATGATCTCTGGATTCAAACTTCTCTTTAGCCTCAAAGCCAGAAGGCCATAACTGAAAATTTTGACAGGGACAAACTTGACTGGTCTGAATATTATATTATCATATTATTATATATCATATCATATTATTCTATGAATAAGTGCAAAATAGTAGGAGGTAGTAAGTGGCCACCAGCTGGCTGTCATTCAGAGTGCAGCCCACCTTGCTTAAAGTTACTGAACCCTAGAACTGGTATTACCGATGTCAATTTGACCAATTTTAGAATAAGGGGCCATTCATTCCAAGTAATGAATATTGAAACCTTGCCATCAGTTTATGAAAAACTTCTTGCACATATATATCATGAGGAACCTCAATAAAGAGTGTTCTTGTGATGGTGTCACTTCAGAACAAAAGTATGCAACAAATGGCATGTTTCTCTGTAACTATCACACATCCAGGCAGCTACGGTATGAGACCAAAGGTTGCATGCATTTAGCCAGCAAGGAAGTGCAATATTCTTTAAGAAAGGCATTGCCTAGAGTGGATTTTTATAAAGAAACAGAATCAACGAATAAATAAACCAGATGGGAATAAGTCGGGCTAGGGCATTAACAACTCCTAGTGCAATGAATCCTTGATCTTGCTTGAGGGTTTCTCGACAAATAACAAATACAAAAACATTAATGTCATTGTCAGTCATACCAAGAACTTTGTTTGTGTCCAGTAACGCTGATATGCAACAGCACAGTTCAAATCAAACAGATGTTAATACATTCTTATATTTCTACCAGTTAAGGTAGAATTGACTGACCTGATCCAAGTTTTTCACTTGAGCATTTTTCCCTTTTCTGCAACCCCAACTCCTAAGCAGTTTTGCATCTCCAATGACTTTTCCCTATAAGAGATAAGGCAAGAAAAACATCAGCACAATCTGAACCACTGAAAACCAAGAGGCTTCTATTTATGACCAGAAGCAGGGGAAGAAAGGACATTAGGGAAGCCTGTGTACTCATCTCGTGTTGCTGGCAGATACCGTTCCACAGAGGGGTAGCTCCCAAGCTGCCAAGGAGACTTCCCCAAAGACCAATGTCACAGCATCAGGGATGTCACATAGAGGCAGAAGGAAAGCAAGGTGTGTGGAAAAACACAGTGGGAATACGGGCAAGTCAAGCTGAAAAGGAACAGGCTATTTTAAACCAATGTTTTCATACACATACATAAACAGGAACAAGTCTATCATGCACCAGAATTTCTGTTCACCCTCACCAAGTTAGTGCTTATTTGCTTCTAGTGTAGCTAGATTTGGTGAAATAAAGTCTACAAGTGTGACTTGCCCTCTTTAGGACAACTGGTCCATATAACCACCGACAAGTCCTTGCCAAAAATTCAGCAGTCCACCCTCACCCAACACTACTGGTGCAGACACTGCAATGTTGATAACATGCTGGGGCCAACAGAGATTTACAAAGAAACAGGGTATCTTCATCCTCCTTTTGCCTACAAACAACAGTTTGGGAAATAATCTGAGCTCAAACACCCTTTCATTGACAACCCATCAGACTGAGTGTGATCTGAGCAGCAAGGTCCCTTGTGTTTATTTGGTTCTTTCTGGGGATTATATGAATCACTTTGGCTCTCCCCCAAAGACTTTTTGGAGCAGATACTGTTATATAAACTTTTTGGAGCTTATCAGGCCTGGACATCTTGATAAATCACCATGGCAGAAAGGGGCTGGGATTACAAGTTTGGTCAAAATGATACTTGAGCTCAAACAGTAACACAGCCAACTGGGTTCCCACAAACTGAACACAATTACTTGCTTACCCATAGACACATACACAAAGTTATTGCTTTTGTTTCAGAATTTTGCTGTCCACAGCTAAAAAAATAAACACTCTCGGCATCTGCTGGTCAACAGAGGGAGAATCTGCTCATGTGCAGCCATGGAGAGTCATATTTCAGCTGGATAAATTTATATGGAAAAGGAGACCTTAACACTAAAGCAGTTAATGAGTTTCACCAAGTGGAAGCACTCTAGCCTAAATGATGAGGAAGGGAAAGGGCACAATTAAAAGGAATTGCAGCCATTGCTCAATACCAGGGCACAGCAGAGAGATGACCCTTGGTGACAGGAATTAAAAACAGGCAGATAAACTTCTAGTCATCTCAGAAGAGCCTGCAACCTGCCAGGTGTGGTGAGATCTCTTACTTGGTGACCCTAGCATCTCACAAGTCCCAGCAAGGTCAGATAAAAATTATCTTTTCTCTGCTTTCCAAAAGAGACAGTGGAGAAACAAAACAAAACACAACACTGAAAATGCTGTACCTACACCTGATACCTAACCAAAACACCCGATACCTAACCAAAACACCCGGTGTTTGGACTGCTGATTGCAACCTGTCAAACTTTAAGGTTTTCAGGGGACTACTTCCAACTGGCATCCTCTGCCTGTGACTCCCATCTATCAGATGTATTTTGCTCTTGCCCCATTACTACAGTCCTTCAACAATTAGTTTGTAATCTCTTAAACTCAAAAAACATTCCCCAGAAAGAAGTGATTAAACTAAAATTTAAAGCAGGGAGAGATTTGTCTGTCTAACCAAAGGAGACTTTCTAGACACCCAGTATATGAGTCAGGTTAGAAACACAAAGGACCTAAGGGAGATCCACACATTTCCTAACAGGCAACAGATGAAAAGCCAGGATGCCTTAGGGTGCCTATAGCAGCAACATACAAGTGTGTTTAGGAAACCGGATCCATACATGACTTGCTGATGGTCAATTTGTCACAGTATCCACTGCAAAGCCATTATGTTGAAAAAGATACTCCAGCCCTTTTTACACCACAAACTGAGGAACAGATCCCATTTTTAGACCCTTCTCTGGCTTCTAGGATATGCTGTCATGCAACCTGAGCTCAGGGAAAACCATGGACATGTTCTCCTGTCTGGCTGGAAGTATCACCAGCTTTATTTAACAGAGAGAAATTGCAACATGTTGCCCATAATCACATGGAAAATCAAGAGCAGAGGGGAATACAAGCCTAAAACGTGATACCTTTTTCTTTTTCCCTGACAGTACAAGAATGCAGGGGCTCTTCCATTCCCTAAAAAAGCAAATGAAAGCAATGCACTGGATGAATAATCCCACCTCCTTTTCCAACTGCAGATGTGCCTCTCCTTAATGCCCCTCACCTGAATTACCTACTACCTCCACCTTCTTTTAGGAAAGCTTATTATGAGCAGATACTTAATTTGAGGATAGGTGTCTAACATTAGGTAGCTAAGTTGAAAGGCAAAAGAAAAAAAATAAAAGCATATGAACAATATTTGCAGCCTGCCACAACTCCATTCAAGAACAGATGGAGACCTTGTCATTTAGGGGTTTCCTCACATACATCAAGCAGTTTGGTGGGGATAGGAAAAGGGGCTGCTGTTTGGATGCTTGTCTGGAACCAGATTAGAAGAAAGCACGCTATTCCTCAGCGCATGCCTTGTGTTACACTAAACATGCATCTGCAACTTGAGCTTTTATTCAGCGATCTGAAACAGAGCCCTCCAGGGTGCTAAGGGTCAATGAGTTGTTTGTTTATCTATATGTTATTTTACAGTTTATAGTGCCCAAGGAGTTTGTTAAAAAATTAAAACACCTAGCTGGGGCCTGCTGTGGTTGTTGCTTCCTAATATATCCCTCCCTCCTTTGTCCAGCAGTGCCTGATACTTACAGGGGAGGGAGAGGACAACACTGCAAAGACGGGAGCCTCATCTCACTGAGTGCTATAGATGTCTGGTCTTAATGTTTCCATGATTTGTGGCCTTTAAATAACAGGATTGGGAAGGAGCACAGTGATCTTGAAAGCTCACAGATTTATTGCTACTAAATGATACTGTGCTGCCTGCTATTGATGTGAGGCTCTGGTTTAGAAACAGGTAGGCACAAGGATTTCCAGTGTAGGAGCTCACTTTGCCTTCTGCTTGCTCCCACCTGTCGTCAAGACAAAGAATAAGAAGGTTCCTCAGTGAGCACTGAAGAGTGAAGCACATATGTCCCGTTTTCTCACCTCTTATAGGGAGTCTTGTTGGCCTCACCCTCCCTGCACCACTGGCTCCAGCAGTTGGTCAAAGTTTGTAGAAACAGAAGAAAAATAATAATGGTCATAGTAACAGGCTTAATTATCTCAGCTGCATGGGTGACAGGAGCTGATCACTTGCCAGTTTTCATAGCCTGTGATTGAAAAACACCAAACTGTATCACCCAGAAGTCAAATGAGGGCCAGTTACAACTTGCTTCATGCCAATGACTCCAGGGGTACATACAAATCAGAGGCTGTGGAGAGTCCTGGCGCTGCCATATTGCCTAGACTGGTTCTACACAGAGCTGCCAGACCTATTTAAAGGAGTCAGACATGACACATATGGCACTGGCAGACCTCTGTAGATCTTCTGTGCTCTGGAGGAGCTGTCTGAGAATAACTGGAGAATCCCACCTTCCTCCCACTCTCCCAAGTCTGGGGCTGGAAAGACCAATTTAAGAGGTGGGCTCAACTTAGCAGTACCATGCCATGCACCTTGCAGCCACTGGCAGGTCCAGCTGGGTTCTGACCTGCTCAGTTCTTCAGCCTTCCTCGGTTCTGAGCAGCGGTCCTTGAAAATACTGGCAGTAGCCTCACCCCAAAGTAGCTGGTGTAACTCATCTCCACTTGGCCCCTGGAAGGTCTCACTGGCCAAACCTGGCCCTGGCTTTTAGCTGTTCAGGCTCTCTCCATCTCTCCTGTCTTGCAATGCCCTCAAAATGTCCCACATCAACAGACAAAAATGTGAGGTGCAGACAGTATAGCTGAGCCTTGGCCATGGCAACCTTAGGAAGAGCACAGTTTCCAGTGTGGCCTTTCCAAAGCTTTTATCAGTATTTCAGCTGCTGAAGCAGCCTGACTCTTCACAGAGCAGTACTTTTCTGAAAGAGCTTTGTGAAGCTGAGCTAAGCAGCCCTTCACAGCCTCTTCCCTTTTCTTCCTTTCCTGTCTTACACCACCAAGAGAGCTCTCCAGCATGATACCAAATAAACACAGTGATCGTGCCAGCTCAGGAATGACAAGTGTGTAAAGAGGCTATACCATCTTTCTCTGACTCCTTCTCCATCCATCCAAATATTCTAACATTTCAAAGACCAGAGAGCACATTTGCAGCCACCTCCCCTGACATCCTGCACCAGGCAGGCTGTGCAATTCAGTCTGCTATCCTGCCACTGAGCTTAATAGTTATTTCTAAATAAAATCATTACTGTTTTTCACTACAGGCTACTTTTAGTAACAAGACAAGGACATGGTAGGTTTTGGTTGGGTTTTTTTTTACCCTAGGGACACAGTTAATTTTTTCACCAAGAAGAAAACATGCGTATAGTGTTGCAACAGTGAACCCTAAAAAAAAATCCCCACAGGTACATAAATGACATTGGGAAGATCAACATATTTAGTATTTATGTTTTTATGCTGTTCTGTCAGGGTGATCCATGCATCTTGAAGAACTGGTGCCCAAGTGCCTACAGTGGTAGAATAGGAGAGGAGGGGAAACAAGGGGAAACAAAGGGAAACAAGAACTGAATCCAAGGTGGAGGCAAGCTGCAGTACAATAGACAGCTGGTGTTTGGGTGGAGGTAAATCACCCTGAAATTAGCCTTTTCCCTCAGCTCAATGAAGCCTAAACAACAAAAGAAGACACAGCTTGCAGCCAGACAGTCTACTAGCCGACCACAGAAACACATGACAGCTTCATTCAGGAGTCTGGAGACAATACAAAAGCTTCGAAATCAGTCCAACATTCTGCAACCTCAGACAATGGGCCAAATATCAGAATTGGAGCCCCAAATGAGGGGGAACAACATTCAAGGGAGATCAA